CCCTTACGACATGTGGCGGCGTACAAAGCCCGGCTAAACGGTGGGACAGGTCGCGAAATTGTGCTGCCACGCCCTCGGGGTGATTTATTCACCTGCCTGTCCGGCCCACAGACAGGTCCATGGACGGGCGTATGCGTCCCTACGCCAACCCAAAGCTGCCCTCACAGAATGGCACGGTTTCCGGTAGTCGGAATTCAAAACGAGAAGACGGCGCACGTCACCGGTACGGCGCGGTGTTTGTTTTCGGTTTGGTTTTTCAATTAGTCGCGGAACGGCCAGGTGACATGGTGTTTGAACAGGGGGTCGTGATGATAACGGTAAGTCTAGCGCCGAGACTGGAGTTGCCGGATGTTTTTATTTTCAACTTCGCTTGTCAATGAATAACATTTTGGACGACGTGACTTCTCATTTTATTATTTCTTATGGAAAACTATGATTGCTTTTTCAGCAGATACCAAACGATCAGAAAATGAAAGAAAATGCTGGGCTGACTTCACTTCGCCCATACCTGCCTCTACCCCTCACTCCACCAGTCTGACCCCGCCTCTACCCGCTCACCCCTCGCCTGCACCCGTGCAGGCACGGGCCAGCTCCCGGGGAGACCACCGACCCTCGTAGCCGGCTGCCAGACGCGCCTGCCAAGACTGACCGTCCGTGAGGTGCCAGCACGCAGCGGCCGGGCCGCCGGCCGCTGCCAGCAGCCGCCTGCGCCAGTCATCGTCTGCAACAGTCATCCCCGGGATCTGTTCGCCCCTCCCCCCCACACACCTGGCGCGCCCCTGTGCGCCCCACCCAGACACCCCTACCCGTCAGGACCGCAGCAGCGGCGCCACGGAAACTGCGGTTGAGACCGCATCCAGCAACAAACCCAACTGCCAAATATTTTCATGTTTTTATAAATAATTCCTCAAATGAATTTCAATAGAAGCTGATTTTTTCAGCAAAAGTATTCATTGTGCCTTGTATCACCCCACCAATTAAAATACAAAAGGACTATAAGTAAAAATGTTTGTTTCGTTATCAGCACGTGACAGGAAATCCAAATAAAACAGGCCCCAAACGGCAACCCTGTTGAACACCTGGCATCAACAAAAGCCAAACAGGTTTGAGGGGAGGGAGGAGCACTATCTGTCCTCAGTATGGGTGTTCGCTGCATGTTCTCTAAAGGTGCGTGCTCCCTGACCCCGGTGGGGTACAGTGGAGTGTGTGTGGGGGGGGGGGGGGTGCGTGCTCCCAGTCGGGTTCAAACCCCATCTCTCTCTCTCTAATGGCGCGCTGTCTGGGCGGCCGCCGACGGCTGAGAGCGGCTAATAACACATCAAAGGTCCAGACAGCACCGGCGGCACGGCCCGTAACGAGAACGGGGCGACGCGACACGGCGATAACGGTATAGCTGGGAGGGCGAGGAAAGGCGTGGGCGGGGAACGCTATATGCAACGCTTCTGCAAGGGCGAACAAGCTTATAACCTCAGAAAACTGAAAAATGATACAAAAAATCAGCTTATGACCAAAAGCCACAACTGCATGCGGTGTTGTAAAAAATCAGAAGCGAAAGTTTTCAAAGAAATGTGATTCCATATTGGACAAAAACCTTTTGATAATCGCAATTAACACTCCATTATTATGTACAATGTAAGCGCCAGACGTGACGAAGTCATCATCAATTGACAATTGCCAGCTCTTTACGAAATCCATCGAGGTGCCAAACCACACTTCATCCACCCATCTGACACCTTACAGCGAATCAAACACCTGTCCCCAACCTCACAGTGTCTAATGACGAGGCCTTCGCAATCATCGCCGAAAAAAGCTGTATCGTCATCCCCACTATACCCTGTCCATCAAACCACATACAAAACTCCTCATCCACCTAAACACCGTCAGATGGCCGCGTCGGTGGCGCCGCTGGCGTCGAGGCATGAAAAACGCGCCTCCTTTGGGCCACAAAAAGCGCCAGCCACTCGCCAGAGGTCCCATCATCGCCGCCCGGGCGCCACTAACGCCGCAGTTATGGCGCTGTGGCGCACACTTTGTTTGGAAACAATTAGCCCGTCCGCCCCTGGCCCAGTCACCTCATTGAGTGGACCATTTTACATTTGACACGGTGGGCTGAGTGGAGCGATTTCACGCGCAGAAACACCTAAGTGATTTTCGCTTACATAAACACTTCTGCTGGTTCAACCAACGATTTTGACGTGTGGATAGATAGGGGACATGACAGTCGCACACTAACAACCACGTAAATCAGTCAAAGGAAATTATCACTAGACTCGTTCCTCATTTTCTGACACTCCTCCACCCCACAGACGTTTTCTCCCACGCTTCTGCCCCAAATCCACACTGGCCCGGGGTCCAGGGAACAGAGGCGGGGGCAGTGGCTGACCCCGCCACCGATTACGACCCGTTTGATTAATTTCCTCCAGCGTCTCGCGAGCGGTGGTCTCGAGCGCGAATCTCGCGCGCTGGCGCCGCCTCGTCCGCAGACCCCGCTCCCCCGCCGTCCAGATCCATAAATCATGGGCCCACTGCATTCCTGGACTAACGAAACACAAGCACAGTCGGCAAAAACAACGGTCCACCCCGGGACCGGATAATGAGAGAGGATTTGGACCACTGGTCGGGGTCTAAGACCGAGTAGGGGATCGAGGGAGATAGAGAGGACGGATGTGAACCCTTTCTTCTTTCATGCGTGAAAGGGTTTCACGACACCCGCACTTCATAACGATTATTGACTTGGTCAGGACCCATTGAGAGATTCAGCTGTGCCCCCAGACCAGCAGAAAAGGCTGAAGTTAGAAACTATCCCGCTGCATATATCTACACGAGGCCCAGGCTTGTAGCTCGTCTAGCCAGCCACATCACTCTGATTCGTAGCTCGTCAGCCACATCACTCTGGATGCGTCTGCCACATCACTCTAGCGTTCAACCGACCCTGCAACCGCCGCAGCTGCCAGCGTCCTCCACTTCGCCCACCGGAAGCTGCGGCACGCCTCTTCAATCCGTCCCAGACATCTCCTTCCCGTCGAACCGCAGCGCCGCACGTCTGGCGCAGACAAACCTGGCGCCGCACGGCGGCCAATGCGGCGCAGGTGTGCACACATGAGACAGATGTGACGCAGGCGGTGCGCCGGCCACGCCTCGTTAACCGGGAGCCCCGCGATAGCGTCGCATGGCTGGAAATAGTCCATGGCGCGCGGAGCTAGGCGGCCCGGTTGGAACCCGGCGGGACCATCTGGCCAGGGGCGTAAAGTTTAGGTGAAGTCGCCTTGGCACCGGTTGCAGTGAGTCAGCCTGATGAATACTGGCGCCCGCTCTTGCCGCAAAGTTTCGCGGTAGCAGTCAGACAGGAATTAAAATAGAAAGTGAATGATGGTAAACGTTGGCTCAAGAAGACAATTAAAAAAATTGTTGATTTTGAATTGTTCATATCACATTCATGGCAATCAAATGGCCAGCTCGTTATCTTCAGTTGTCATGGCAGGCGATGCCAGTTGCCGTCAACGCTAACGTCAGTTCAGCCTTAAGGTAACGTCAGTCTCAACATCATTCCATCGGGCAACGTCAGTCCCGACCGTCAGTTAGAGACTCAGTCGCCATCAGTCCCACCGTCAGTCGCCGTCAGTGACCGCTCCAGTCACCCCTCCCCCAGTCTCAGTCAGTCCCAGCCTCAGTCGCCATCGGCCCCAACGTCAGTGGCCGCTCCAGTCACCGTCAGTGGTCGCTCCAGTCACCGTCAGTGGTCGCTCCAGTCACCCCTTCCCCCAGTCTCAGTCAGTTCCAGCCTCAGTCGCCATCGGCCCCACCATCAGTCCCACGTCAGTGGCCGCTCCAGTCGCCGCCACACCGATCCCTCTGATAACCGGACGGGTTCGGGCCGACCCGGCGCGGTCGGAGCCGATCGCTGCCCTGATAACGGCAGGTACGGCGACGGGTCCGCGGCGCTGTCAGACTGGCCGGCATACCACCCAGTCTGGACACATCCGGACACCTTAGTGGGCAGACTGGAGTCTGGACAGAGACTGGAGTCTGGACACAGACTGCAGCCGGCATACCACTCAGTCTGGACATATTCAGACACCTTAGTGGGCAGACTGGAGTCTGGACACAGACTGCAGCCGGCATACCACCCAGTCTGGACATATTCAGACGCCTTAGTGGGCAGACTGGGGACGCAGACTGGCAGTGGACAGTCTGGCAGTATGGGGGACAGACTGATCGGCATGCCACCCAGTCTGGACACGTACACACACCTTAACAGGCAGTCTGAGGCACAGCCTCAGACTGCCTGGCCGTCACCGGTCTGAGACACCTTAGCGGGCAGACTGGGGAACCAGACTGGACACATCAGCGGACAGTCTGGAAATATCCCGACAACTAAGAGAGCAGTTAGAGACAGACTGGCGGGCATACCACCAAATGCCGGCATAGTAGACCATTTTACAGGTGTCTGGTAAAGATATGCAATTCAGCCGACATTCAGGCTTCTCAAGCTAATACGCCGGTCAACAGCCAGACAGACGATTGGCAGACAGCCGGCCAGACGGGACAGCCTAAAGGCTAAACGCATATTTGATGGAAACCGCTACCCTAACCAAACGAACCACCAGCATGACAAAACGGTCAACCCATACTGGATGGAGCCACGAACCACCAGACGAACAAACAGCGGACGGCCGACGTACTGAACAAACACGTCGTCCAACTTGCGGAACCACCACGTCCTTCGAACATCAGCATCAGAAAGGATTGGTTGGATGAGACGAATCGAGTCGATTCATGTTTAAAAAAAAAAAAAATTTGCTCAAATTTTGCCCATGAATAATATATGACAAAAATTCGATGAGCAGTCATCCCTGGCAAACCAGGGTCGAGCTTCTCTCGCCTCTTTGGTCCCTACGAAATGTGTCCCGTCGTGACTAGCCTTCGCATTGTAAGGTACACTCTTTAGCCCCTTCCCGCTCATCCCCCCCCCCCCCGCCCAGTATCCCCTCAGGACTTACCATTGAGAGGGATCCACTGTAGCTCGAGTAGAGGCTGTATGGGTAGCTGAACGGGTGACGCTCAGCAAGGGGCTCATACGGCCTCCCACCTGCCAGAGAGCACGCCAATGTCGCAGGGTCAGCATGTGGTCAGCAAGCGTAAACAGGCGACGATAAGGGCTATATTGGTGTGCGGTAAACAAGGGCTAATTGTGAGATGGGGAAAATATTGACAGGAATAAGCGGAGCCCTTGTCGTTTGAGTGATCATCTGAAATAACTTATGTCGTTGCCTCCAGAAATTGCATCAGATGTATGATACCTACATAGAACAGCAAAGTTATGCTGAAAGCTAAGCTCAAGAGACAATAACTTGGGCAAAAAACGCTTGCCAAATTACCTTGTCAACTTCGAAATCAATAACAGTCGTCTTTATGTCACTCAATGTCCATTTCTCCTGTTGATCAACTAACAAAATACCAGCTCTATAAGATTACACAAAAACACATCTTGTCATTCCGTTCTAATCCCCCACCCCCACCCCCACTGTCATTTTGAGGCACGAATCTCCCCTCCCCCCCCCCCAAACTGCACCAATCAGTACCTATGTAACCATCACCACCGAACACCAACCGCGACACCTATCGCGGCGCGCACGCCACATCACGCCTCGCGGGGACCAATCGCGACGCACGTCAGATTCCAAGGCAAATTCGGCGCGGACGCTGTCGCCTCATTAGAAGGAGGAATTTAATAATGCTGCGATGCTGGTGTGATAGTATTGTGGTCAGACAGGCCAAGGTCAATGTTGGCGTCCCGTGGACAAAAACGACCCCGGACTAGCCGTCACGGCGGGCTTAACGACCGGTGGGACACGGTGGGATATTGTGGGATACAGTGGGACACGGTGTGGTACTATGGGACAAGGTGGGATACTGTGGGATACGATGGGGCCAGGTGAAATGGCAGCACGAGACACAGTGGGACACGGTGGAAATAAGTGGGCAGGGTGGGACATACTTGGATACAGTAGGACCAGGCGGGATATCCTACTGGGATACAGTGGAAACAGCTGGGATAATGTGGGGCAGGTTGGGATGGTGGCGAGATATGCAGTGGGACAGGGTGAGATGGTGAAACAGGGTGGGATGTAGTGGGACACAGTGGGACATTGTGGGATACAGGACAACGTGAGGAAAGTTTGCACCTAGTGGGATAGTCATAGAACAGTGGGATCGCCGACATTTAGTGAGGTTAAGTGAGAATGATATGACGCAGGAATGTGTATGCACTATGCAAGCCATACTGCAGATATTTGTTATGGTTATTCAAGCCACAAACCATTGACTTGTTCATCAAATTCAATCAGTCCAGAAAAAAAAACTGAAAAGGCTGGCTGTTCTTTCCTTATCGTATGTAGTCGGTGTACGTTCAAGACAAGATATATATTTTACGCTGACAGATTAAGAAATAAATTGCTTCACAACCAGGCCATCACATACTACACAATCCGAGCGCCAAAACATCGATTAATATGTCAGAATCGCGACAAAAACCAGAGAACCTGTCACCTGTTCTAAATTAGGGTGGCCCACACCACCCTTCCTTGCCTAGGTCCCTAATGAATCGGTCAAAAATATCTAGGAACAACGCATCGATGAAAAGATCCGACGAAATAGCGTGTCCACTTCACGTGCTGGTGTGGTATTTCATTTTACCCATCACCGATTTCGATTTGCTAGCAATGAATAAGCATATCGGAGAATCAATAGACAAGTAAGTTATAACAGCTGAAACGGCAAAAAAAAGGCAAAGCAATTTTTCCAGAACACCGAGATAACTTTTTGCAAGACTTCCTATCAGTGCAAAACCAAATCTAGGCATTAAGCGAAAGCTGAGTGCCACAAATGTCACGTTGGACCTTTTCCTTTCACCGAAATCGCGTCAAAATTCAGTGGCAGCTGTGCAGACAGAAGCTGTTGAAAAACAGAAGACGTGTGCCAAAATTCCATCACGTGCGCATTATCGCTTTCCGCCCTCACCGCCAGGTGGTATCAGAAATATGGCCGTCCCTTTGTTTTGATAAATGAAAAATAATGTGTAATAACACGGTGTCATTGTTGAAATTAATAAGATAGGGACGGGCCCACAGACGTTATCTCAATCTTCTCATCTAAATTATTGATTAAAGGGACTATCCCACCTTTAACATGGGGTTTGAGTTGAGATAGCCAAGTTTGCGGCGAGGTTCAGAAACCACTATCTATCTAGGTTGCAACCCCCGCGGCCTCTTGGTGTTGAAGAAATTCGTTCCCTTCATTTGAAAATGGGCCTTGTACAAGGCCCTATCTTCAACATGGAGCGACCGTTAGTGTGACGTCACCTCGTTTAGTCATTCTGATTTAAATGGGTTTGTTCGTTGAAAAATCGCTTAAAACTTGGTCTGAACTTTGTTGTGGTGCCTACAGAGTAGAGTTGCAAAATTTCCCCCAAAGGCTGCTACCGGCACCGCCCCGCCCCACAAAAATTTTCTGGGATACCGGCATGCTACCACGACCCAAGCAAAAACACCACCAAATTACCGGCATACTAAAAAAAACCTGCAATGTTGATTCTAGCTTACCCATACAAGAGATGCCACACTTTGGCAATTTCAGTACCCATCCCAGTTCCCACCCAGCAGCCACCCAATGTCCAACCTAACTACGAACAGGATGATTTTGGCTCAGTTGGCCCCACAAATACCCACAATTTTGAAACTCAGTTCCAGTCTATAACTGTTAAAATATCACGTGTAATCAAAGAGGTATTGCCTACAAAAAAAAAGCAGTAAGAAAAAAGCATAAAAAAGCAATGACAAAAAGAACTTAAATTACTGAATTGTTTCTGGAGACTGGACAGTTCAAGTTAGCAGTAATCACATCAACATTTCAGAGGTGTTCTACTATTCCACACTCTCCTAAAATGTTGCAGGAACCTACCAACCAAAATCAAATTTTGAAATATAGATGGCCACAACATAAAAAGTACCTAGGTACAGATTCGGCCATGTGCCTGAGGAAGCGAGATCAACACCTTTTTTCCTTTTCGCCATGGCTTGCTGGCTCATGAATAAGATACGAATCATTTGAAAAATGTGAAGAACTCACTTGTCCTGAGAACAGTCACCAAATAATATGCATAAAAACGATATAATACTCGCTTTCTCGAAGAATCTTCCTCTCCAAACACAAGGTTATCTCAACTATCAAATATTTCGAAACAGATGCGCCATAATAACAGAGACTTTTAACCAGCTGATTAAATTGCTGCAAAAAAAAGTTTCTGAACTGTAGCAAACTGCCTCATAAATGATTTGTTGATGTAAATGATCCAAAACGATATTGAATTCTGATGTAATCAACATTGTGAGTTTAGTTCACTACAAGAAAATGCATTCCCTTTCAGGAATCAAACCAAAAAGGCATACGAATAAATATTACGTCATCATCTTACATCCTTCCATCAGGGGAGAGAAGATCTAAAAAGTCAATCCTTGGTTCCCCTGTTATTCTGCGCCACTTTGTTTATTTTATATGCATATTGTGTTTTCTTGTAAAGATGAGACAAAATGCCAGTTTATTTGATTTTCATTTCATTTTTGGGACCAAAGTCAGGCTCAGGGCTACCTAATACCTGCCTTTTCAGCTGGATTTTCAGTGTCAAATACTTTGTAGAGTATCTCAGACCACATCTCAGGACTCAAGGCCAGTTTCCAAACAATGTGTTTTGTGGTGTTTTGATTCTGCCTTTTCCTCTAGGGAACGTTGGCATGAGCCATGAACATTTATTTATTTTGTTGTATTTCACCTATTACATACCATTAGACTTACTGATTGATCGAGCTTTTGCAGCATGAATAAGCATTCTTCCATTTATTGACCACAGTAGATTCTTGACAATCCTAATTATAACGAAACCTGCGAATCGCTGAGGTCCATGTGTTATCCCTACCCTTAGCAATGTAACTTCTACCACAAAATGTATTTTGCAGTGGCTAACATTGCTGTTATTATAATTTGATAGCCTCTTAGTGCCCAAAGTTTAAACCATATGCTGATATTTTCTATTTTTGTGCAAAATCAAAAATACCGGCATGCTACCGGCAAGACATGCCAGATACCACGAAAAAACCTGCGGTAGTGAAAATTTACCGGCATGCCGGTAGTGCGGTAGGCAAACTTTGCAACTCTACTACAGAGTAAAAAGAATCAGCTTTATGACAGTAATGTGGCCTGGGGAAGGAGGTAATTTTGGGCTGTGACGTCACGTATTTGAAAGTTTGTGTTTGGAATATGGGAAGCCTAAGATGTTTAATGAAAAATAAATGCCAGAACCGTGTTCCTGGTCATCCAATCTATAAAGTCGGGCACAATTTAACTGGTTTTAACAACATTTTAGAAGGTGGGATAGTCCCTTTAAATAAACGCTGTGATGTTATCAAACCCGTCTTGCTTATCTATTTATCGAATTTAGAACAAATTTTGGATCATTAATATCGAAACTTAACATCCACTCATCCCTTCCCAAAAAGTAGCGAAGGAAGGTAGCACAGGCACAGGCCAAGAGCCAAGAGCCGCGGTCACGGTTTTGAGCGCATCAAAATCGCATGCATGTGTAAAAAAGGCAAACGTTAGTTCCGGGAATTTTAATTCATATTTCTTTAATTTCTGGGCCCCAATACCCGCACCCGTTCCCTCCAAAGTGCAGTCAGTTTTCGCTCCGCGACTGCGGATTGTCGGCCGACACGGGGAGCCGGGTTCCCCGATCCCGGGCTTACCGAGAGGTCCGAACGCCGAGCCGCCTTCATTCTCACGGTTGGAGCCCGCATCAGTCGCTTTCTGGAACCAAGACAACAGGAGACAGTGTCACATGTTGTGAGTCAACTCTCCCTTCCCTCAGGAGGCCCTAAAGGGGTGAAATAAACACTCGCTAACATTAGATCCCACTAAAGTCCTACCGCGCTGGCATAGCGACAACGTGCAGATCTGACTTTGGCCGGGTGTTTTTATGGCGGTCGCAGCGTGGACGTCGTCCAAGTAAATAACATGTCCACTCGGGTAGCTGTGAGATGACCGGCGAAAATTGTGCACGGTTGCTGGACGGCCCGGGGCCCCATCTGGTGTCCGAGTCCACTGCAGCGGGTTGGCCGGCCGGCGCGGGCCCGCTCAAGGTCTCGGAACCAGTTCCGGACGCGGCGCCGGCCACCGCGCGCTCTTGAGACGCTGGCCGGCCGGTATCCCCGACGCAGTCAACAAAGCCACAATGCACGGAGTTACACACTCAATCGCGGAGTTTTGGGGGAAGGATAGTTCACCTGACCGCTAAAGTGACTCTAGATAGATGCTAGAGTCATGACTCACCGTCTCCGACTCGGTGATGAGGCTGCTCTTGTCCTCCGTCAGCCCATCCTCCACGTTGAGGTCCTCCGCTCCCAAATTATCCTCATCATCCTCCTCGTGTTTGAACACCTTCACCTCATCCGTCGAGCCTTGTTCGTCGCCGTGCGGCATTTTGGCAGCGGTCGCGCACTAGCTCACAGCACCCACGCGGCCACGGGGCCCTCAGCACCCATCACCAGCGCGACCGACACCGTGCGCACACTGGCGGCCGCGGCGGCGGCGGCCGGCGACCGGCCGTCGGCGAGTCTATGTCGGCGGCCGACCAATCAGCGGCCGCCTCTGATCCGAGCGCCGCGGTGCCTTCAGAAGTGGGAGGGTGCTAGCTTCTGGATCGGGGCGCGCGCGCACGGGCGTCAAAGTGCCGACACCGGCGGCTGCCCTGTGTCGGTGGGATTGTAGTTTTCAGGTGATGATAACTGGGCCAAACTGGGGTGGATTTCAATCGGGTTTTGAGTAGATGAGTGAGTGTGTCATTGGGAGAGTAGTGGCAATGAATGGTGGCGTGAACACTGAATGGGAAGGCGGTAAACTGGCTTCCCCGTGAGGCGGTAAACTGACTTACCGATGTACAGTCACCAGCACTTGCTACCCATCACCCTCGGACGGCGGGGGAGCAAGCTACCACCGCCCTTGCGAGACTAGCGCCGCCATGCGCCAAGAATTGGAAACACCACGTGACTGAGGCCACGTGAGGGCAGGGTCACGTGATGGAGGGGCGGAGCATAGCAGCTTTTGCGCCCGGCACTAACTGAAATGCGGCGCTGTGATTGGGCGCTTTAGCATGAATGAAGCCCCGGCGCCAGAATCAGCCGTTCGCCTTATATGGAAGGTAAGCCTGTGCGTTTCACTGTTATGTGTTGGTTTGAGAGCCACGGCACCATACGAATTGTGAGCCCCTTTGAACGGGTCACCGCCCGAGGCACTGAGGCGACGGCTGTGCCGGGCAAAGCCTAGCCTGGTGGGAGAGGTGGGCCAGGGAAAGTGCGATCGAGCAGCCACACTGAGACGTGGATTGGTATTATCTAACCGCGACAAACGATGAGCAGCCTCTTCTCGTTGACACGAAAAAATTGACAGACAACGTGGGCAGTGCCCAATCAAAAGCTACTAAACGATTCAGTTAAGAAGTTGGCGAGATAACCAGACCCAATAAAAAGTTTTTGATTCGATTTTGATTGACAAATGACATACAAGCCCGCTGTGATGGACCAAAAAAAGGAGCTGAACAGTTCATACAACTTCTAAAAAGCTCAACGGTAAAAATTTAAAAGTCAAATGTTAAAATTCAGCCTGCATGTTTAAACTCGGGTCTGGCGCTGGCAGGAAGCTTATATTGCCAAGCTTGCAATTCCACTACGTTGTAATATAACCAAGAGTTATGTGAGAGCAACAACTGAAAGCCTCGAGCCGCGTTGGGGGGGAGGGGGCGCGAAACAGCCCTCTCTCCTTTTCAGTCGATATCTCCTAAAGTATAGCGTAGGTCGCCAACAAACTTTCAAGACCCCTCCGGGCATCATTTTACACCTTGTGGCCAAATTTTTCCAGAGCTCTTATGAAAGGTTAGTCACAAATGACGTCAGAGTGACGTCATGTTCTGTCATTTTCGACCCAATAAAAGGTTTAGCGGGAAGAACTGTCACGCGTACAGTTTTGAAGATAACAAAAAATAGGTATTTAAGATAAAAAAGATGTAAAATAAACAGCGCTACAAAACTGCCAACTCTGATTTCTAAACAAAAATTGATTTCGACCATAAAAAAACTATAGAAGTATAACACCCCGAAAATACCAACAACATTCAAAATTAAAGATGGAATATATGTTATAGAACTATCTGCTCTAGATATGCCAAACTTAAACTCGACAGCTCCATTTTTAGCAAAGTTATGGCAAAAAAAACACTTCTCAAAATGTATTACGTAAAATTTTCAAACTCAATTTTTAGCCGTCACAGAACACACAGAGCAAGCCAAAGACCACCATTGGACTTCCCGTGATGAGCTGCATCGAATAGATACCCCTTTTATGCAAAATATCAACTCTGAAATTTAACCTTTTTTGACCTGACCTTGACCTGACCTCCACCAGAACGTAATCTAAACCGGCCCCAATGGCCGTCTAGCCCACACCATTGAATTTTAAATGTAAAATTGACCATAAAACATGCATCACGCGACCCTAGCAATTAGCATAGATGGGTTCATATTGTGACCCTTAGTGACCTGAACTCTTTGACCTGACCTGGCATCAGTGACCTCTATAGGCAACATATGTATTGGGCAACCACGCTCCATCGATGTTTTTCGATAACATGCCTTTTATTTGATGTGTTAACTGACTGTAACGCATTCCTTTGACTAAATCGGTGAAAAAATGCAACCTTTGACCTGACTTGTGACGTCATGGGTTGCACCTAGGTCAACGAAACCTGGTAACAAGGTTCGATAGCCCCTGGTGGGGCTATCGAACGTTCTTCGAATTTTCCAAATCGGTCGGTTACTTTCCGAGATCTCAGGTGGAGGACGAAGCGGCTGCACCACCCCATCAGGTGGTAGGGTCCGCCAATAGCCCAACGAGGCGCCAATTATTTACTCATTCATACAGTGTCATCTATTTTGAGAACACCTTCGTCACGCCATGACATGGTCCTCTCGTAATAGATCGAGATGAGGAGAGTGTTTTCACGCCTCCTTATGCACGGCTCTAGTGTCATTGAGCTATCAACTGTCAGCGGTTTTCGGACAATGAAGGAAGGCTTTTGGTCGTTTTTTAGGTAAGATCTTGGGTCAGATCATTTCAGTGGCGGATCCAGAGGGAGGGCATGGGGCCATTCTCCCCCCTCCCTTGGGCCTCCCGGGGGCCCATCACGGAGTTTTTTTTTTAATTCATCACGGAGGTCACCGACGGGAGCTTTAACCCAGAGGTCTCCTAAGGGGGCACCATCCAGAAGGTCTATTGTAATAGGGTACCGTTTTCGGGGTCTCCTGGAGGCCCATTTCTGTCCCTCGCCTCGTTTTTTAGTTTAGTTGAGTTTTTTAGTTTAACGGCGCGGGTGAATTGTTATGTTAGCTAGCTCCTGTTGTAAGCTGTGGAGTCGTGGATCTGATCTTGAAGGAACTGGGCCTAATATTTTCATAGCAGACGTAAAAAAAATGTTTAATAGGTGATGCAAAAAAAATCATCTCTTTTATGAAATATTTGCGAAACCTTCAACATCATCCCCATTAGTGCCGAGCTCCCAACGACGACCATAAAAACGTCCCCATCCCGTCAGCGTGTGTTTATCATAAGGATGCTAAGATTTAATTTCCAATCCGAAGCTGAAATGATGGAAAGCAAATTTACATTTTACATACGAAACAAGCTGACACAACTAAATATTTTCTCTCTCGCTCCCTCTCATTGATTTACCCATTACCCTCTCTCTCATTTTACCCATCCTGGTTTTCCTTTTCTGTCTCTCTTTTCTCTCATCCCGTCCTTATCCCTTCCCTCCAGTCTTTCTTCTTCTTCTTCTTCTCTCTCTCTCTCTCTCTCTCTCTCTCTCTCTCTCTCTCTCTCTCTCTCTCTCTCTCTCTCTCTCTCTCTCTCTCTCTCTCTCTCTCTCTCTCTCTCTCTCCCCCCTCTCACCCCTCTCTCTCCCTCTCACCCCTCTCTCCCTCTCTCCCATCTCTCTCCCTTTCCCTCTCCCTCTCTCTCTCCCTCTTTCTCTTCCACTCTCCTCTCTCTCTCTTTCTCTCTCCCTATCTCTCCCTCTCTCCCTCTCTCTCCATCTCCCTCTCTCTCCCTCTACCTCCCTCTTTCTCTTCCACTCTCTCTCTCCTCTCTATCTCTTTCTCTCGCTCTTCCTCTATCTCCCTCTCTCTCCCTCTTCTCTTCCACTCTCTCTCTCCCTCCCTCCCATCTCTCTCCCTTTCCCTCTCTCTCCGTCTCTCCCTCTCTCTTTCTCTTCCACTCTCTCTCTCTCCTCTCTCTTTCTCTCTCTCCCTCTCTCCCCTCTCTCTCTCCCTCTCCTTCTCCATCTCTCTTTCTCTTCCACTCTCTCTCTCCTCTCTCTCCCTCTCTCTCCATCTCCCTCTCCCTCTCTCCCTCTTTCTCTTCCACTCTCTCTCCTCTCTCTCTCTCTCTCTCTTTCCCCACAATATTCTCGACTGCCACAGCGTTGTAGAACTTGTTTCCAGACAGGTCCAGGCGCTCCCCACTCCGCAAGCCCCAGCCCACACGGCTCAACCGCCCAAACACCCTCCGGCGGATGACCTCCGACTTCGGCGACCTGACCCCAGTCGACCGGACCGATCGCGTCCCTCTCCACGCCTCCGCCCCGGCCCCGCTTCCCCCACTACAACTGCGTAGTAATTGTAGCGTGTGCAAAGGTCACGTGACATTATTTACTTCTGCGGTTTGTTCGGCTGACAAGAGATGGCACTAGTGGTCTGTGGATCAGAGGCGGGGCTAGGTTCTACGACTTCTTGGGGCAACTTTAGGGCAGAAAAGACGTTTTTTGGCTCCTCACCCCAAAATGCTTCGAACACACAAAAACAAGTTAGATATTCGAAAATCGGAGGACCAAACCGATCGTTTGACGTATCTTGCTCGACTGAGAATTGATCGGTCTTCAAACTACTGAGCAAAAACGAGGTGATTAGTAGCAAGTGCTGGTGACTGTACCTACCGAGTGATCTATATGCAATGCAGTTTCAGCAGCTCACTCATCACTGACATGTCCAGCGGGGGGAGGGGGGTATTTGGGGCGAATACCTCCCGGAGTACCGATCCAAGGCCGGCTTTTGGATTCGCCAGCCTATACAGCAGCGCATCGTACAAATGAAAAACCAGTGGCACAGTTAAAAAGTGATTGAAAACCAGCACACGTTCCAACCGAGTGCATTACACAATTATCTATTTTTCGCAATATAGATAGATGGCCCCTGAATCACGTAACATATAAAAGTGCAGGCCATGACCTGGGTCAGGGGCAGACCTACCTACCTAAAGTTTGCGAAGTGCGAGGTCAAACTCAGGTAAAAAAAAAAAACAGAGCTCTGACACATTTTAACCCCATCCTCCCACGCCTCCCAAATATTTATGCTTGCCGCCACCGGGACAGCTCAAGCAGCAACGTTTGACTCAAGCAGCTTGAGTGAAACGTGCTGGGGTCCCTCCATCGCTCAATTAATGTTGTCAATGCTAATTGATCATACAT